AAAAAAACTCATTCCACAAGCCATAAGAATGAATATCCAGAATTAAATTCAATAAATAGACCGATCGCCCTTTAACCCAACACAACAACACCCATGAGTCGTAAGAAGGTTCAATCGTCGGTAAACATCACGACCATCCCTCCGCTACTGGTACGTACCCGTCTGTATTTCCCTATTTCCCTCCAGTACAGAATAAAAACATCGACAGTAATATAACAACTATGTATCCACTATCCCAGACACAGTAAGAGCTGAACATCTAGCCCGTCTTCAGCGATCGCTACGAGCACGAGCACCAATCCCGTAAGATTACGCATAGACGGCGTTATCCCTGTTTAGGAAGTCAGTACTTTTGGCCTGCATTAGTTAGTGACTTCCTATTTAGGTAAAAGATCAGCTGGGGGTATGAGTCGTTGAAAGTTCTATTGGTCAGGTGAGTTCTTCGACTCCTCTTGTGTTGGTACGTATCTTTTCTGGTGTAGGGAAGTGTGTTAGGTACGGAAGGTCTCTAACCCTATGTTTCTATTGTTGGCTCTTTATTGTTGGGTATTTGTTATTTATTATTTGTTATTTATTATTTGTTATTTGGGATAAAGAACTTTGATAATGGGGTATATTAGTATTTATTTATTTATTTATTTATTTTTGTTTCTTTGTTGTAGCGAGGGGTTCTCTGTTTAGGAGGAACTGATTTGTATACAATAATGTCTACAGAGTACGGGATAGGTGAATACTACCTACTTACTGAGTAGATGGAAAAGAAGAGTTTATGCAACTGGCAGAAATCGAACATGCCCGCGTCAATCATTCCCCAAAGAGGATGTCACTGTTTCAACTGTAAATGTGGCCGGAAGAGGTTCCTCCCGACGCCGGTCGACGAAAAGGGGTGGCAGCATAGCCTATCACAGGCACAAGCTTCATCCTGCGTATACAACCGTTATGATACTCCGTATGTATGGTATGGTTTGATCGTGTATCTTCGGTAAAGATTTGATCGGCGGAAGTTGAATCTTACAGTGTCTACTATATCAGACCGTGTAATACTAGAATAGAAGATGATGCATGGATTTCACCTGGTTACTAGTAGGTATGTACTTCTGATTTTTGACTATACACATCAGATCAACAATATACTTAGGTAGAAAGGAAAAAATCAATGGATGTCAAATGCCAATGCAAACGCCGCGCGCTCTCCAGTCCGGTATGCTAAACATGCTCGTCATGAACGAATGAATGTCAAATAGTAGTGTTTATCAATCGCTCAGTAGACCAAGGAGAGACCAAATAATAGAAGCAAAGATAATAAAAAAAAAAAAAAAAAAGAAAGGAAAAGAAAAGTAGAGAGTGAATCTCAATCTCAATGAACGGAGGGGTCAGGTATCATCGCTAAAACAACTCGAATTAAACATGCTGCTCCAAGGCACAGACTCCAATGGAGTACCCATGGAGAATAATATTCCGCCACCACGTATTGGATGGCCAACCAACACTGTATGTCGTTTCTAAGCCCTCATCATCATTCGTCGGGCTCGGAAGGCAGACAGGTCGATCGATTCTTCGGATTCCGTCCCGTCGTCCACCTCGATCGCCTCAATATCCGATGACGGCCCCTTGTTGCTCGTGGGGTTAACCGTCAACTGTACAGATTCCACTTGTGGAGCCGCTTTCTCCTTCGCGGCACGTTCCTTTTCCTGTTCCACCGTGAGACGTCGCACTTCACCCGTGGCCAGTTCGAGCAGCGCCTTGAATTTATCCAGCGCCCCCTGGAGTTCTTCCGAGCAATCACCCACTCGGAGGAATTGGTAAGCTGCAGTCTCACACAAACTATGAGCCAACTCCAACTGTCTATCCGCCATATCAAACGGCGAGTTCTTGGCCATCACTCGAGCCTGCGGGGGAGGCCCACGATTCCGGTTGCTGCGGATCTGGGACAACAACTGGTCGTCAGACCCATCTCCGGAAGGAGAGAGCGGCGGGCTGTTCATCCGAGGGGATTTGCTGAGAGCACTACTCCGCATCGCTCCCATCTGTGACATCTTTCCCCTCCGAATGTTGTTCCTGGCTGTCCCGATAATCCGCACCATGTCCTCCAGCGACTTCTGCGTCTCCCCGTCGTAATGGATCACTAGGTTGTATCGCGTGCTGACAAAGGGGTTCTCCTCAGAGGCTAAGGATGGGGCTTCGTCCGTGCCGCGCTTTCGAGGGTTAGGGTTAGGGGTCGTCGGGTCCTGGGAGGCGGGCTGGGGGGTCTCGGGGTCTTGCTGGGTCGGTGTATCTACGGGAGGCGGTGATTGTGTGACGGCATTTCGCAGCTCGTCGGTCCGGATGGAGCACACGGAGCTATTCTTGCGACGGCGCGGTCTCCCCGGTGTGACGGCGAGCTTCTTGTACGCCTCGGCATATTCGGCATGTTTAGCGGCGGTGTGGGTGGCCAAATCAGAGATACGGTTAATCCATGAGGGTAAATTATCGGTGAGGTGGGAGAAGGCTCCCAGGGCGTCCATTGAACCGGCAGGCATTGGGGGGAATTGTTCGCTCGCGTTTCGTCGGACGAGGGTATACCGTAGATTGATTATGTCGAAGATCCCTCAATCACGGAAGGATAGGGTAGGTAGTCGAAAAGAAAAATCGTGCCGTCGTTCAAATCGTCAGTCGTCCTGAGGCGTGGATGATCTGGGGTAGAGGAAGTCGAGAATCCCGGCAGCCGTGGCGGCGGCGTCTGTTACCCGCTTTGGGTCTTAACTACAGTTCCATGAAATATTGAAGCGTATCTATGAGCCAGGTGGACCAAGCGGGAGAACAAGCAGTGATGGTAGATAGTAAATTGAATGAGGGGGGTTCGAGAAAAAAAAGGTGGTAGGAATCCAGACGGGGTTGAGGGAGAGACTAGCTAAAGAACATAAAGAAAAGGAATCGAAGGGAAAGGAAAGAAATGCGACCGCGGGCGGGAAGAGAAGAGACTCAAGGAGGGAGCCAAGTGGAGACCCACCGAGTCGTCGAAGTAAAAGGTACAAGTACTTGCACACACGGTATCGTAATACGTCCTCATTACCGTATCGGCCACCAAAAGCCAACAGGTGACATCCCCGAAATGACTGAATGAAGCCCGAGCGTGGGCTCCACCGTCCATGCGAATTGCAGCAGCAAGCAATATCGATTCAGTGTGGAATGTCTAGATGGACCTATAATACCTGTCCTTGATGACTCGTCTTCGACATTTCTCCCACATTTTTTTTCCTGCTAGTGATTTGACCATGGACTGCAGGATAACCCTGATTCTTTCGTGGGTCGGTTGGGTAGGACCCACACTCGGTAAGTGATCGGGGATGGGGTCACGGGTTTGACCGTACCGTACCAAACCCAGCGAAGGCACGACGGTCCCTCCCGGTTCGCTACCGTCCAATAATGGAGGCCCGACGAGCGGAACCAAAGCTTCAGGCATCCACACCTTTTCCTCGCTTGGCACGTCGTTCAACCCATCGCATTATTATGATTATGATTCTTTAATACCGTTCGATTTCCTGAACAGTCTAATCTGCCGCTGTCATCTTCACACCCTTGCACCGCTACAGGGTCCGCGAAAGGAGCGGTGAAGAACCCCTCGTGGATATCTTGGTTCTGCATCAAGACAGTTCTTAAGAAAAGACATGCAGATGGCGTCAGGATCTGGTCCTACCGGGGCTGGAGGGCCTGACAAGAATCGTCATACAAATTCGATCCCCCGGTTACTTCCGTGCGACAGGGTCCTACTTCAAGATGCCCTAGAAAGATCCCGGAAGATCGGAAGACTTTTTCTTGTTCTAGAAAACGGGTGTTACGGGAAATGCCACGGGAGATTTTGTTTAAAAAAAGGGCGATTTGTCCCCCCATGAAACAAAGAATAAACACCTCAGAATAAAGAAGGCAGGTGACACCGGAGAAACACCAAACAATCATAGGTGGTTCAGGTACAAGTCCAGGATATATTATATCACCATGTGTTATGATCCACACCGAACGGGAAGCCCGTTAGACTAACCACGGTTGCACTCGAGAAGGGGAATTAATTAAAATACGTAACTATAGGGTCAGGTCGGGGAGCAAGAAGCCCGACGCAGCCAATTGAAGTATGCATTCTTCAACGGCTTCTTTACCCAAGTGAGCCCTGACACGTAACGGCTATTTTCACTGACGGCAACGAATGCCATGTTGGGCCTAAGTTCCCGACGCTTCCGTCTCCGCTTTGAAACATTGCTTCGGCTGACGATCGTCGTGCAACCATTTGACATGGGGCAACGGAGCAAGGCGAGCAAGGCAGAGGAATAACCTTGTTATAATCGCGAAGGATTGTCAGCAGTAAGATAACACGTCTGTCCATGGCCTACGAGACACAAAACGTGCCATTGCCAAGCAGACTCCTGAAGTTGGCACTAATTTCAAGGAAGTGGATTGCACCCTTGCACCGCAAGCCATCCTACCTGCCATGAACTCACCAGTTTTAGACGCACGTATGGCACGAGCCATTCCTGGTCGCCAGATTCTTAGCCCGTCGCTACTAATCACTCTGGGAAAATGGACGAGAATCCAGTCTCGGCTCACGACACGAATACATCAGACAACGGTGGCCTTAGTGGCTCGGATTCATGTTGATCACTGACAACGCATCATCTTCTGTCTGTCACCTGCCATGTAAGCAATTGTCCATTTGGAAACACCAAGCCCTCGTTGCTGCATGCAAACGTAAATCCTGAATACGAACCATGAAGACTATGCAAATCTATTCTTTTCTCAGTAACTGGACTCCGGGTGCACAGATACAAGAATCATAGGAGTTGCAGACATTGCATGACGCAGCCGACGATTGAGTGAGTGAGTGTGTGCCGATAAAAGTTGGAAAATGCGGCTTCTTTTAAGAATACCCCTAGTCATTGGTGCTGTACCGCAGTTTCGATGTCCTCCATTTGCAATCATGTACGGGGGACTTTTGCTTTTTGCCACCGTCATGAATGCAATGCCCTACATGCTTAGCACCATTACGTTGCGTATTTAGTAGGTTCATCATGGGCGAACAACATGCTCGTACGTCCGGTCAACCGGTGGCTTGCCGCGGTTAAATCTTTTTCTGCTCGTTCAGAATACTACTATTTAGGTCGCCTATCTGACCGGTTAGAGTACAACACCAACCTAGTCAGCATAAACATACTGTAGAAGAATATATTATGCAGAACAGTTTGACCAGCGAGACATGCTGAAGTTGTAAAATGGTTTCATCTCTACGTACTGTATACATGTGGTTGTATATGATATTAGGACGACTAGTATCACAGCGTTGTGTATTCTGCTCGGTCAGCAACATGAAAAGACATGTGACTAAGAGACTTTCGACAAAACATGCCAAAGGCGCAGACCACCTACTGGCTACTACGGTGGCGTACAGGGTAACCCTGGACTAGTACGTTCTGCAAATCGTGGCTGTGAATACGTGTCACTTTTGTCTGCATTCTGCAGGTTGGGGTCCAGCATCTGTCCCTTTCAGCTTTCGGAACCATAATTCGCGACCAACGTAGAAAATAGTTCTCTACTGTTGTTGTTGTTGTTGCTTAACTACTTTTGACTCTTGATTCAGCTGCTGTGCAACAGAGCATAAAAAAGGCCCATGGCTCTGGACTACCCGCCCAGCATGTACCCTTCAGGGTTGTGATGCTTTCGACTCCCTTGTCCGCAGGGTACAGATTTGTGATATTACCCTGATTACTGGTATATTATAGGATGCTAATAATCAGACAGGTAGCTAAGACTGCACGGCGCATCGTATACAGCTCGAGAGTTCTATGCATGGCCGCAGCGTGCATACTATTCCGCCAACGGGAAAGATGAGCTGAAATGTGGCTAGCCGGATGGAAGTGGATACAATGTGAGAAGGTACAGACCCGCAATCTATCAGCTGAAAAACACTGAGACTTGTTGTAACGATGCCAGCAATCTCTTATGCAGATTTTGCCTCAGCCCCTCTGCTGAAAGCTGTCTTAGTGGTCCATACCAAATCGAGAGCTCAGACCAGCTTCTAGCACAGAGTATATCTGGAATGTTGGTGTTGACAGTCGTGATGTTATGCATATAAGGACGCCTCGCGTCGGTATGTTTACTTCTCAATCCATCTTTTGATCCATCTCTTAAGACTTGTCTTGTGAAGAATATTTGGACCCCTGAACAAGATAAAATAAATACAGGGGACATTCAGGACGATCCCTTACTGATCCAAAATACTAGTCATATTCCCAAGACCACGAAGCACACTCCAGTACCACACAGCCTGACCACTAAATCAAAATGGCTGAAGCAACTGGTAAGTGTACTTCACCTACCTTGGGTCCACAAGCCTACATTATTCAGGCCAAACATACGACTCTGATCGTGGCCAATACTGGAGCGGCGAAATCGAGGCAGGCACTGCCAAGATTACCCCGTACCAAGATGGTAGACCCACGCGGTTTACCTTCAAGAGACCATTCCAGCAGGTACCGCATGTTCAACTCACGCCTGACTTTGGTGAGAACCCATCGCAAGGGTTCAAGCAGTCTTGGCTTTACTTGTTGAGCAGGGGAAAACCGGCGGTGGACAAGCAAGGCTTTACTGTTGGATATGAGATTACCTTTAAGTACACTGCTATTGAGATACGTGAGAGGTACTGATGGCTAGAGTAAGGGAGTCATCAGGAGCGTTGGTTGCCAATAGCTATGTTACGTAAATTCCATATGAAGAAGATGCTACTTTGTTTGTCAGTCAGTTGTGACGGATTTATTCTATGTTCCGTCGGATTCCCTTCACTTGTATAGTTTAAAGGGCCCTCCCGAAGCACCCCTCAGAGGTGTGCTACTGTGGTCAGTTGCTCTCTAATATATTAACGAGTGAGTTAGCCTTTCTAAATGTGTGTCCACGATGGTCGCGCAGAATTGGGTAGGTCAGGGCATATGTGCTTTTAACCGCATGAGCCTTGTCTAAAGCTACATCACCGTTGGCGTCAAGCCAGGATAATGTGACATCGCTGCCATGCGCAACATCGCCACCCTCTATCAATTCCTGCACACGATACGGCTGAATGCTAGTAAACATAAAGTTTGCATCGAAGTTCGCATTCAGAGTAACCTTGTACTCCCAGCCATTGCGGCCATACTTTTATTCTGCTATCGTGCGCAGGTCTGTTGCCGTCTTTGAAGTTATAAATTGGTTGAGTGGTAAGATGCTCTTCCGTTCACTTCAACTAAGGTTCGTGGTTTATTGCGGTGTGTTGAGTATGTAGATGTGGAGGTTGAACTCAAGACAATAGTCTCTTTCTTAAGGAGGGATTTCCGTTAGAGAATTGATCAGTGGGATGAGAAGAAGATATAGAAGGAGGGTTATCCCCGGGGAGAGGCGGCTCCTTTTATTAATCTCTTACTATACAGAATGCCCTAAAGGCTTTGTACAAGCTGGACTCAGGTGACTCCTAATTATGAAGCTATCTATGGATGAAATTTTAACTCACTGATTTAGTGCAGAAAATAGAAAATGTCGTTTGCGGTTACCTATAGAGCGCGGTATAGCCTTGTATGGTGTGATAAAAGCTAACTCAAACCTATTTGTATATGAGCTTGTTTCATCCCAGCAATCGTGGTCGAAGTCTGTATTGCTCTGGACCTCCTTAAGAATACGAATTGGGGCGTCATTTGGGGATTGGATTGTCGTATGATTGCGCTGACCCGGCTCAAGGATACGATTGGATGTCGAGAGGCATTGCAAAGCTTAACACTCATTGAACTAGTGGTAGTGAAGTTTAACATTGTTACGACCAAGGTTTGTCTAATGGGCCCTACTGATCTTTTAATTGACTACATTACCTCATATCCCAAATATCACATATTTTCAATCGCCGTTCCGCACGAGAATCTGGCTTTACTTAGATTTGAGGACCCTTTGTACATGCCATCCCCGAAGCTCGTGGACATTAGTCACTCTCTCGAGCACTAATTTGTCCTATATGAATCTAAGCACCAGAATGCGCCTTGGCACCATCTACATCCTTGGGCGTCTTTATGTCAAAAACTTGACAGCATCCACAAACAACCCTTCGGTACCTGCTGGTAGGGCTCCAGATCTTCCCAGTTAATCTTCACACAGTCCACTAACGCATATCCAACTAAGGATGTATAGGAAGTAGCGTCAACTGCATTCTCGCCGGCCAATGTGAGCTCGGTCTATGCTACCGATGCTGCTGCTGCTATTGCGAGGTCCTCGACGGCGGAGAAGCTTGCGGTGTAGGCTGGTGGTGGGACGGAGACTGTCCCTGTATGGCGTTTACGGCGGACAGTCAAGGAATTCTTTCTGGGAAGTCCCAGTTTTGTAGCTGTGATTAATGACTTAGCGATATTTAAGGGAAATGATCCGTCTCAGTCATGATGTTGACAAGCTCCGTGGCCTTTTATTTGGGCTAGGCTGATGGAGATTCATCTTGAAACCGGACTGTGCTTGTATTCCCTCAGAGGTAACATAGTGTGTCGGATATCATGATATGGCTTAGCGATCAATTGGCTAGCCAAGCTGAAAAGACAAGCAATAATGTCAGATTCTATGGTCTATGCCGCTTGGATTCTGGTTTTGCAGACTACCAAGATGAAACTCTTGCGTCTCAGCGAATAAGGTTGATCAGATCGTATATAGAAAGACTTTATTGGATGTTATGTCGGCAACTTTATCCGTTCAACCAGACAATGGATATTGAGAATGAGTTTGCTTTGGTTCTACCCCCATTTACTCAACACCAGACCACCTCATCCACTACGTTCACTACTAGGATCTGCCCCCGAGCTACGCCCATGTCAATTACACACTACGCCCACACAGAACCCTTCTTAACAGGAAAAAAGAAAAAAAAAGGACCTGCTCAATTAGTGGACCTTGGCCATATTCTATCTAATCTCCGCTTGTTTCCGGCGGCGTGGAAGGGTTCAAATTGGAGAATATTCATGAGGCTTATGTGACTGACTATCATTAGAACTGATAATCATAATTACAATGATAAAAAAGGTTTACGCAGACACTAAGGCAAAACATCGACCTCTAAATATCAGGAGATTCAACTGAGCTCAAGGGTTCATTTGGATTCTGATATATACAAAGCAATGCGTAAAGCCTTCCAACAAAGAATCCGTTTCTTTTGAACCATGTCTTCTCGTTGTCGTATCGTATAAGTCCTTGTACTCTGTCCAGTAACTTGGATAGTCTGACGTCGAAGCAATGACTCTGTTAGGGATGGCACTTCTAAGGTACGCTAACTAACAAGGTAAAAAGACCACAAACATCTAACTGTTCCTTCAACCACTATCACTGATATACCCCCTCTTGGTCCTGGTGGCCCAGATGGGCTTTTGTTCCTTGTATATAACGAAGTTACCGTCATTCTGCACAATACAGAACGCCTTATAGCCGTCTGACCAATAGCCGGGTTGGAGTTTCAGATGAGTCCGCCATGGTTATCGCTAAATAGTACCATACAAGTTAACCAAGAAGAGCTGTATAATCAAACCGATGATACCTTAATGAAGATGGGAAGAAACTAGATTACAAAACGGAAAAGGTAAACTTACTACACAACAAGGTCACCATTTTCTTGCATAAGGAGACCTTTAACATCTTTGCCCGTTGACCAGGATTTCCATTTTAATTCACCATCTACTTTAAGCCTCACCATGCCATCAGTCCCCACGTTGAAGCTCAACCGAGCAATATTGACTCCATAGGCTCTGACCAGCGTGAAGTCATTCACCGTTAGCAAGAGTGTCGTACATATTGACAGAAGAACTGAAGAAATACAGATGTTGTGCGTTGTAGCGTTTGAGGGAGGTAGATGAATTAATAGATGTGTATGTATCCTTGAGAAGACCACAATGGGGGTGATGACGCTTATATATGATAATTCTTTTTTAAGTACATTGCATATTGTGCTGTCCTGACAGGACAAGTGTCGATCAATAGTTCTATGTTCAGCTCCCCCACTCCCTACTTAGCTGCTCAGCATAGAGAGTCTCCCACTGGTCCCGATCTTTTCAGCTCAGCTCGTGCGGATATAGTTGCGGAGCGAAGAGAGGTACAGTACCATGGTGCACAGCTCCTTCAAAATCCCCACTAAATTATCTACTAATTATAATAGTCTAAAGATACAGTTTATAAACTCAGCTACCTAAACTAGCTCCCAGAGTGCCCCGCGCTAGCACTAAGATCGGAAGGAAAAACGGAGATTACTGCACGATCAATGGTTCTACATAGTAACATCGTACTGAGAGTAATGAGCGAAACAATAATAACACATCAGTATGTCGATCCACTCGGACCCTAGCAGCAAGTTAGGAACAACTTCGGATCTACAGAGTACACCTTTGGACAAGATCACCACACAGCCACAAAAATATTAGACCCGACGATAAGGATTGATATCGGTACGTCGAATTTGTACCGGAGCCTGGTCTCTCTCATCAGTCTAACTACGTGGCAACGATCAGGAGAACTCGACATGTAGGGCTAGGTCAAACTTAGCAGGGAGCACAAAGAATCAGATCGCCATTCGTGTCAGTCAAGGGTGCTTCTAGGTCATTTTTGGCGGTACGTGTATTATAATAACTATTACTGCATTGCACAAAAACCCAATATTATTTAAAGAATGGGCTGAAGTGTAGAGTTATTGTTACGCCCAAGCTCCTAGTTATCAGGTATTATCGGTTAGATGATTTTTCCCAGTGCCTCATTTGAACCAATTTGGTAGAAAAGAAAAAAGGGGATTCAGGGAATGCGGCAGGCGTGATATGATCAGATTGTGATTGGCACTTCCTTTACGGACGTTGATCCTGAGCAGTGCTATATGGCTTTGCCTGTTGCTGGGTGGTGGAAGGAATAATGTCTAGTGTTGACAGATGCGATGAATATATGCATCGAGTAGTGTCTTTAGTATAGAAGTAGTTATTCTGGTTCAAACCTAAATCGAAGGACTTCGCTTCTTAACAAGGAAGTTTGTATAACATTGTGTTTCTCCGTGGCTCTTAGAGTATCAGATTATTGATTATTCACGTGGGACCTGAAAGCTCAACATTGAATATCTATGTGTAATGCAGAGGGCAAAATGTGTTCAAATGCACTACACTGTTACGCGTAGTTGTAATGCATAGCAGGATGTGAAAATCGTGATATTATTAATGGTGGCTCTATGATGTGCTAGGTAAATTGCCAGGTCTCTATTTCAACCCTCCGGATAACAACAGACTCTGGCCCGTCATATACCCGGTAGAAACTAACATCATGACCACATTTGCTGTCTCCTCAGGCGTACCTAAGCGGCCCAAAGGAATAGTTGCCACCGTATCTTGGATTGCTAAGGCATTGGGGACCATGCCCGTATCACCAATCATAGCAGGTGCGACATCGTTGACACTGATATTGTACTCAGCCAGACGCGTGGAAAGGTTCTTCATCATGCCGGTAAGCCCGCCCTTGGACGCTGCGTAGTCTAAGACAAGGACATTGTTAGGAATCATCACATGCCACCAAGGATTAAGGTATTAACTAACGACATCCATTGATTCCTCCCCCATAAGCAGCGATCGAAGACATGAACACGATACGGCCCCATCGCTGTGCCTTCATGTGCTCTACCACGCCCTTGACCAGAACAAAGGAAGCACGAAGATTAACATTAAGCATGTAATCGAATTCCTCAAGCGGAATGTCCCATATATTAGTTATTCGTTTCCCATATCCAGCATTTGAGATCAGCATATCGGGCCTTTGACCGTGTTGAGTGTCAATCTCGCGGAACAGACTTTCGATTTGGTCGGCGGATCCAACATCGACTTTGTGGGTGGAAATGCGCAGCTTGTTCTCGGCGTATCTAGACTGCAGTTCTGTGACAAGTTCGTCTATCGATGTCAGATTGCTCGAGTAGGTTAATGCGAGATGAACTCCATGTTGAGCCAGCTGATGAGAACATGCTGCTCCGATTCTAAAGCAGTGAGGTTTTGTCAGTAGTTGTCCCACTGGAAATCAGCTTATCGTGACTTTGGGGTCATCGTTACCCTCCTGATGCACCCGTGACTAGGGCCAGACGGCCGCGTATCTCGTTTAGTGTCATCCCGTTAAGAATCTTGAATGCACAACGTTGATGGCATGAGCAAACTTCTTCCTTATCTGGCAAAAGATGTATATAGTGTAGTCTTAGGGTGTCTACTTGAACCTCGGCTGCGACCCGTGGTGATCTTCCCGTGGTGAGAGCGTAGTTTGAATGGGACTACCATTAATGCGTTAGATAGAATTACTATGGTTGACACTTCATAACCAAGCTAACGGATTTACTCCGTATATTGATCATGTCCCACAGGCCCCACGATAAGGACGGATGGAATCCAGTTCTAATGGCCACCCGCTCACTACCTCATCCATCACCATGGGCGGAGCTCCTCCCAAGACCCACACAATGCGTCTTTGCGAGCTCCTCCTACACTAGTTATGCCGCTAGTAGCTCACCTTATGCCCTGGAGTAAAATCCAATAAATAGCAGCACATTGAGCTTCTTATCGCTCGTATCGGACAGCCTTGTGTATGTCACCACTATCGAGTTCCTCGAGTGAATGGTAAGGCATCGCCGTCGGCTATTGATTTGAACAAGGGGCCAAAATAATACTCAACAGATAGACTTCTTTCCAGAAACCAGAGCTCATCAGATTATGGGGGGCTTGATGTTCCCTCAATAAAGAAGTAATCAGTTAATGCTGTTACCTATATATCGGCCAGTGGATGAGCAAGTATCAAGTAGCAAAACCCCCTGTTGGATCAAATTACAGATCGGCAGACACCGTCTTCAAGCTTTTCCATAGGGCCTTGTCCCATATATGTCCACTGCATCTTGAGCTCTTAATTAAGGGTATTCTAGGAAGTCTAAATAGCCTACTTAAAATACTTGATGTTTAATTTTGATCTTAATTTTAGTTTTAAAAGACCCTTATTTTATTGGTGCAGTACGTATTTGAAATAGTTATTATTTCGTAACGCAGTACGCATTCTGCTAAGTATTGCAATAATTTTAACCAACTATTCTAATGTCCCATGAAAATGACGCTACAATGCTTGTGAGCAGGACAAAGGACAAATCAGGGATAACCCAACCAACCTCTTTAGAGCCAAGTTCTAGCGAAACCACGAAAGTGTTGTGCGGTGATGGAGATATCCGTCTCGTTGAAGGCAGGCGCCCGGTCCATCAAAGCCTGGAAAGGCAAAACCATCGGCGCACCAATAACTGCATTAGGAGTGACTGTAACTTCTTGATCCATGTAGAGCGTTTGGATGGTAGCTGGCTGGTTGACCGATGGAGGCATGTTCGGGGACTGCTGGCGCAGCGAGGAGATATACTGTCTGGTTATGGGTGTCGGCGCATTTGGTGGCACGAGTTGCCACTTCTGGAACAGCATCTTCGTGCGTTTCAAACTGATAAGTATGACAATTCTGATTCTTCCACTGGAGTTGTTGAACCACCACTTTGCGTCTTCTTGAAGTTTTGGGAGAGACTCCGAGACTCCCGTCTCGATTACCAACGTCGGCCAGTCCTGAATTTGCCCTTGCACGGGCTGACGGTGCCGAGGGAGGAATATCTGGTCGCCTTCTTTACCTTTGTTACCTACATGGGACCGATACCTCGTGGCACCCCCCCACCGTATGTCTTCCCAATAAAGACCCATTGCTCTGAGCGCTCCGAAAACCACGAGCGTGAAATCATTAGTAGGCATCTCATGCCCAGCTCCTGGCATCACCTTGATCAGTCCCCTGGCGCCATCCCATTCAAACCGAAAGCTAACACCATTTAAGCAATCCTTTTCGCTATCAAGCCTGTCTATGGCTTTCTGTGTGAGCCCCGGTATCAAGATCCATTGATTTCCGCTGAAATCATTTGCGTTGAGGGAATCGAAAATTATAGTGGCGTCTCGTGCCAAATTAGATATGCGTGTGAATGTTCGGGTTATACATAATGATTCTATTCCAGCTGTGAGTCGGTACTCGCCGGTCAGGAAAAATTCGTTACGACTGGTTGGAGGCATTGGGGAGGCGCTTCGCGAAGTACTCTGGATGTCGGTGAACAACGTAGCTATGGTCAGCCCTTTGAAGTTTATTGAGATAAGAGAAGGATGTAAGATGACTCGGTACCAGACTTCTAAGATGGCAACGAGACGATTCAGGAACTGAACTGAACTGAACTGACTGTGTAATCTAATGTGCAATCCAAAGGACTATAATCTCGCAGATATGGTGGGTGATTAGGTGACTGTGAAGTGAATGTGAATGTGAATGACAGACGGAAAATAGTATGTAATCTTAGATTCACTACTTTCTTAGAGGTAGTTCAATAATGAGTCTGTAAAGCCAGCAGCTGTACTTGGTGGATTGAATATCTTGAAATGTGACCCGGGGTTTATTCAACGGAAATTGCATCATGATTACTCAAAACTATCTACATAAGATCTACATAAGGGTAGAAACCGCAGACTACGACGCTATCATGTCACACCCGCAGGCAGTCCGCTATGTTTATGTTAAAAACGGACCTGCTGAGCTGAAGTGGAGCTGGCCTAAGGCCTGGACTAAACTACGCAGGAGCAGAAGGCGAGGATGCTGGTTAACCGGTCACATGAGGACCTAGGGAGGGGTTCAACCTAAGGCAAGGTTTCTAACTGCACGGCCCAAACATAATGAAAAGGGGAAGTGTGATTTATACACACAGATTGTGTAGATATATTGATCTACGCTTGGGCAGGCATCTTGGTTGTACATATTTAGCCTTTTGATTTGGCACTGCTGAGGCTTAGCTCACCGAGCTTTACATAGTTGTTTCAGACCTATAATATTAGGATAATAATGTCAGTGGGACATTTCAGTAGCACTGAATTTGCCATAACATTGGTAACGAGCCATCGCTTTTATGACCAAGACAAGAAGCGGCCTTCAATAACGGTGGGCTTCAGCTAGGAAGCAGTATATTACAACGACAGCCCAAGACCCTTATAAACCTCGATCTCGACATCTTGCGACAGTTGGAACAACTGCTCATCACCAAACGGTAATACCTGCGAGCAAATAAACCCTGCTACCCCTTTTTCACGGTCGCACCACCATCGAAGGTTCGCTACACCGGACCACTGTGCAGTCCCGATGGACCGCCCTGTGGAACCTCCACTGAGCAGGAAGGTAAGTCCCCAGCCCTGCCGGTCTCCCTCCACAGTTGGGTGAAGACCGATACCGGACTGTACCATGTCTGCCTTCGCGTCGGGGAAATACTTTTCAGCGAGAGGGGGCAAGGTTTCGATTTGATTCCGGAACATTTCGTCTACGGTCTCCTTCTTGAGCAGTTGCTTACCGGTTGTTGGCGAAGTTCCGTTGTTCAACAGGACGGCGAGGATTTCTAAGTACATGTCAGTTTGTTGAGGGTAGTGTCGGCTCTGTAGGGAGTCATACGGGAGTAGTCTTGTGCAGTAGAGAAACATCCGGCTCCACCACTGTTGAAGTAGGACTTAATGTCACTCTCACTCTTCACTGTCAAAGCACGCCGAAGCAGATGGTCGCGGACAGAGAGCTTGCCATCAGCCGCTCGCTGGTGCATGTACGCGAGGGTTGCCTTCATTTCTTCCGTGGGAATCATGGAAATATACTTGAGTCCTAGTGGCTTGAAGATGTGTTGATGGAAATAGTCATTCAACGACTGGCCTGTTACACGCTCAAGCACGACACCTGCCCAGTCAATGCCAACCTATCGCGCAGTCCCCTGAATGTTAACAGCCATCACTTGATTATAGTGGGGCAGTGGTTACTTACGCCATACTCCCAGGCTTCCCCGGGCTGATGAACTAGCGGCTGGTTGAAGTCTTCAGCATACCCTGAAAATTCGTCGTAACCAACGGGTCGGCCGTAATCCCGCAGTTTCTCATTATAAAAGGTATAACCAAACCCAGCTAATCATGCTTCATTAGCACTCTAGGTCCACCGCGTAAATTCATGGATACTGACAAGTATGAGTCAAGAGCATTCTCAAAGTAATCCCTTTGTTCTTCTCCACCAAGGTCCCATCTTCTTGGAGCACTCGGAGATTGTCGAATTCCGGGCATATACGGTGGATTTGGCCAGCGTCATCCAAAGAAACCTTTCCCTGTTCGACTAGCTGCATGCACGCAATGCCCGTGATCATCTTTGTGCACGATGCAATCCAGAAAACCGAGTCCACAGACATGGGCTCGGAGCTGCCACGGCCCCGTTTCCCCGCAGCATGGGTGAACAGCTGCTTGCCATCCCGTCCAACTACAGCAACGGAAACCCCAGGCAGTCCCTTGTCAGGATCGCTGCACACGGATTGCATCCGGCGCTTGAGCGCCTCGATATTCGTGGGATTAACCTCGCCCATTGTCTGGAATAGTAGGTACTGTGTCGTGGAGGTACGATGAGGGGTTGACCCTCAATGTCCATCATTTATAATGAGGGGTTCGGTGGGGCTTCTCATCTTCTCCTCTCGGGCCCGTCGAAAATCGTCCGGAATCTCAGCAGGTCCCTCACAGCTTGGAGCCTTAGGCATTGAGCTATCCTACACACACTAATTTCCACTCCAATTTTTAGTGTACCTTAGGCAGAGAATCATTTATATCGTCAAAATGTTAGTAGCTTCAATATTTTATTCCGAGTAAAAATCGCCATCTCTACTAGTACTTGGATATTTTAAAGTCAAAGTTTAATTGAATTGCAATTTTACTAAAAAGAATTATACTCTTAAACTTCACAAGCTGCTTGTGGTTCTTCTGTTCTTTTATAATTTACCTGTCGCAGTTACATCTTCATTTGTATCCTATCTATTTCCCGACTGCTTTCTGCGGAATTAAACCTTTCCAATTTTGCATGACGCTCTTTGCTCCACAGAGTGAAGATAAAATTGGCAGTGAAATCGCTGATCTTTAGAATCCCCATTGTTTAATCCAATTCTCCATGATAGCCCCGTCAATCGGCCCGAGATCACGCATTGCTTTACTAGCTGTTTGAGTCTTCGCAGTCTCCATCGTGCTGGTAAAAGTGCCATGGTTGCTGGCTAGCCCCCGATAGAAATCTATGATTTTGAGGGCCGGTTTGTCTTGCAAATCGCCATCCGTGGGATTACTGAACGCCTCCAAGGCAGCCATCCAGTCATGCATGTCGACAACGTCAGCGTTATAATACTTTCGAATGGCCGGGATAAGTAATTCCCAGTTTGAAGTACGAGGGTTGACGAGGTGAAAAGCGGCCGTTCTGGTGATGTCCTCGGTGGTGCGTCGGGATTGGGTGATATCGACCACGATCTTGGCCATAATATCCTATGAGAAAGTGTTAGCAAACAAGCCCAATGGAAGCCGAATCGAATCGGATGGGACGGGAACGCACTATAGGAATCCAATCAACTGGCATTGTACCAAGCGTGTTCGGGAGTTTTCCGAGTGTCTTGGATGTCGCAACTAGAGAAGGTAGCCATTCCTGTCGATTCCACAGCCCCTTCTCCATCGTTGGGCCAGCGATCTGTCCCACTCGATGGATACTGGTCGGTACCCCGGCAATGGACGACGCGAGAGCACAGATGCGCTCGCCGACAAACTTAGATTCTCCATACCCTTGGCGCAAGGCGACACCAGGATCCTCTAGAGGGATTTCCGGAACGAATGGACCGTGCTGAGGGCCCCATGCACTCACGGTCGAGATTGAAGAGATGAAGTGGATGTGTGCCGAATGGGTACTTCGTAGACTGAAATCCACTAGGCTACGTATACCTCGGATATGGGGATCCTCGAATGCCTCAACCCTGTGGTTGAAGTTGACCTTCCATGCATTGTGGATAATGAGATCGACGGACTCTGTGAGTTCGTTATATTTGTCAACGGGCAAGCCAAGTTTTGGGGCCCCAAACTGGGTATGTATGAACTCGACCCGTTCATTGAAGTCCTGCGGAATTTCAAGGCCTTTTTCGATAAAGCTGTCGATTTGCCTTTGTCTTGCATCCTCTGCCCGATTGAGACAGTAGATCATGGGGATCTCCCGATCACCGAGCAGCTCACTCAGGATATAGTTGCCCAATGATCCAGTAGAGCCAGTCAGAATAACCGCGTGTTTTGCTGACCTTCTGAAGCTCGTAATTTCTCTCTGCGGTAAATCATCGGCGTACTTATTGATTAACCCTGCAATTCTCCCGGGTCTGGAAGCCTCTTCATCCTCTGCATTTTCTTCCTTGGTGTCGCCCTTTATCAGTCGGTAAACATACTGCGACAGTCGATCAAGAGTCGGATAAGCGTATAGCTTCTGACTTGTGATCGGCTCAGAGTGCTTATCAGTAGAAAGGTGCCTGATAGCGGTTTGTAGGATTTTGCTCAATTGCAAGGTTTGGAGCGAATCAATGCCTAGTGAAAATATATCACTAGTATCACTGATTTGCTCGACAGAAAGTAGCTGCGACACCACTGTGCGGATATATTGTTTAATATCTTCAAGGTCTGTGCTCTGTGGTAAACTATCAGTGTACTCCTCATCTTCACTGGCATATAGAGCGTTAATTTCACTTTCGTAGTCTTCAGATATCTGTCGTCTCCGAACTGAACCCTTGGGAGTTAGCGCGAAGGGTTTATCTTGCTTAGCTAAGGCAACCTTTGTACGCAAGACACGCGCATGACCGGGAGCAATGCCATTCGCTCTCTCAACGGTAGGCCATATTTTCTCGATAAAATCCTCCTTGTCTTGATCCTCACTCCATTTCCCCCAGCTTGGCTGGACGAGCAATGAAGCCTGGAATCGTCCTTGGCCAATAATGATGGCTTTTGAAACCAAGGAATGGCCCTCCACGATATTCTCCATATCGATAGGGTTAAACTTCTCACCGTTGCTGAGCACAATCACGTCGTCAAGTCGACCGTGATATTTCCACAGCCCTGACCTTGTCGGATGCGGCGTGAACAGATCCTTTGTTCGATATTCAGTAATATCAGGATAGGTATGGAATATACTAAGGAACTCATGATGGTTGCCCTTCCGTATGACGGCCTCAAACACTCCATCACCAACCGACTCCATGTGTATACCACCATAAGGGTTCCACTCGAAGTATTCCCAATCTTCACGATGCGTGCAAACCAAGGCTCCCATGAATCCAGCTTCACTGGAACCAATGATTGAGAGGAGAGCCACTTTCTCACTTAACTTGTTGCCCACCTCTGGTGAAAGCGGTGCACCACCGAAGAGTATTGCTTCGAATTTTTGTAACCCCTTTAAGCCTTCTTCAAAAGCGGACAACTCTTGTATGACTGATGGTGTGAGCAAAGCTGCTTCCGGACGGGCTGTCTCTAGAATCTGACTAAGGAGTGCCGGGGTCATTGGTCTTTCCGGGCTCATGACCACGGGTGTGTTGTGGAAAATGGCTCCCGAGAGAATGACAAGCCCCATTAAATGAAACATCGGAGCCATGGTGAACAGACGTTTGCCTTGTCCTACTGAGACGATTGATTTATTTTGTCTGCCCGGCGGAGTTGGCATCTTGGGAAAATTGTCAATGGCACTGAAGAATCCGTTGGTCAGATATACCGGCTTAGGGAGACCTGAAGATGGAGAGTCAGTCTAGAGCGGATAGGGGTCATCGTAACTGTCAAGGCTTACCGGTAGTCCCCGAACTATGGATGATAATGCATGGTTTATTTTGCAAATCATAGAAATTTGCATTGAAAGCGTAAGGTTCAGCCTGTTCACCGAATACTTCCCAAAGGCTAGGTATCTCGAACAATCGGACGTTTTGAACATTATCACGTATTTCTTCGGCAATTTTGTGTCTCTCAGTACTATAAACAATCTTCGAACATTTGGTGGCATCCAGAACATGCGATGTGGCCACGATCGAATTCCTCGTAGAAGGCAACAACGCCTATATGCTGATTAGCAGAAGGCTCCGCATCAGTGCTGAGAAGCTAGTATGAGTATTTACCGCATAACCAGTCTTCATGCAAGCCAAGTAGAAAGCCACATAGCGGATGTCATTGGCTCCAATATAAGCCAGTGGCTCAGAGCCAGAGCCTTTTCCCATGGCCATATCGATCCACCGGGCGGTGGAATCGACGGCGCCGGCAAGGTCCCTCATGGATACATTTCGCCATCCTTGGGATAAATCGGAGGAAATAGGTTGTATGCAGAAGAGCTGTCCCGGTCTGCTCTCCGCCAACTCGTCGACAACGCAGCACATTAGGCGCTGGTCAAAGTTTGTGGAACCCATGACTACTGGCTTGGTAGAGTGTTGGAATAGGAATCGATATTAAGTGAAGTTAAGAGGGATATTTTGTAAGTGATGAGAGCTTTTATGAGATGAACTTGTTTGAGCGATAGTCATTCACTGATTGGTATGGGATTATATATACTCAGGTTCGGTCGATCCCTTCCGATATGATAGTGGAGGCATAGTAACAGTCCTATGTGGGTAAATTTGTGTACAAGCTTTCCGTGTTTCTGGGATAATACACATCGCCCACTGTTACGATTGCCATTCTGCGGAGTTTCAGCGGACGGAGATCGGTGGATACTGTATCGGGATCATAGTAGAGAAACATATCCAGCATGGCACAACTCCTTATCCCAGAAGAATGGAACATAGTGAGCCTTGCTCGCGTCAGTCCCTTCACCGCAACAAGGATAAGACACACTGCACCAAGGGGCATACAGCCATCATTACAGAACATAAACCTGTCATAGGATGGTATACAGGCATAATGTATCAAGTGCGTTCGTTACACGGGGTAATATCCGATGGGGTTGTAAAACACCTTGGAATAGATAAGGTGGACAAGGACACTAGAGTATGTGCCGATTAGCCCGATGAAGAAAAGAGTGGCTAATCATTTGCCTTTCTCAGCTGTAGCGTAGGAGTAATAAATTATAAGAGTACTAAGACTGAAACTAAGTGGAGATCGGCGACCGGCATTTACGGCCCTTCCGCTTGCCGCACGCGTTATGCTTTCCGATATTCCTTGTGTAAGATTGAGTCCACCGACAGAGCGTGTTATGCTGAGGTATCTCGGGATAAACTGTGCCAATGGAAGAGACGGCAATGTAAGATCTCATAATAAGGGAAGGGGTATATATATCTCTGTGCCAAATGCAGTGTAGTGTCGGATTCTTCCCAGCCTACAAACCGTTCAAATATATACACAATTGCCACTATGACTGTCACTCACAGCAAGACTATCCTCATCACCGGGGCTTCGGGTTTCCTCGCAACTCATATTGTGAAAGCCTTTCTTCAACAAGGGTATTATGTCCGCGGGACTGTTCGATCCGACCAGGCCGCGGCAAACGTACGCAAGGGATTTTCACAGTATAGTGATCGGCTGTCGTTCGCTATTGTAGAGGATATAGCACAGCCCGGAGCCTTTAATGAAGCCGTGAAAGGGGTCGACGGTGTAAGACTATCCGTGCATTCTCATCGATGCCCGAAGGTTCCGAGACTCTAACGCTCACCTATCTAGATCGTTCATACCGCTTCTCCATTCCAGACTTTAGTTCAGGACAATAAGCGAGACCTCCTATGGCCCGCTATTAACGGCACCACGTCTATTCTTCAGGCAGCCCAGGAATACGCACCGCAGGTTCGTCGTGTCGTGATCACATCTTCGATGGCTGCCGTGATAGACGTCGAAAAAGATCCGCAGCCCGACCATACATATACCGAAGAAGATTGGAATCCTATGACATTCGAACAGGCTGAAAGTGCTATTGGGATAGTCGCATACGCTGCTTCCAAGGCAGTTGCGGAGAAAGGCGCCTGGAGATATATGGAAGCGAACACGCCTCACTTCAGTCTTACCACGATTTGCCCACCCATGATCTATGGCCCCGTGGAGCATCACGTTCCTACCATGGAGAGATTGAATACAAGTGCGGGTGATATGTACAGGTTGTTCAATGGTAGCAGCACTGAGATACCGTCGGTGATTTTGCCGGTCTTCGCGGATGTTCGTGACGTTGCTCAAGCCCACCTCTCTGCCTTTGAATCCGAGAAGGGGGCAGGAGAGCGTTTTATTGTTAGTAATGGAGGTTACACCTATCAGGAGATGTGTGATATTCTTCGGTCAATCGTCCCTGAGGTCAGGGATAAGGTTCCTATTGGTCGGCCCGGGAACTACGAAGCGGCAGTCATCAAGGTCTCTAATAACAAGATCAAGACCATTCTAGGCATTACTTTCCACACGCTGCAGGAGACCGTGACAGACACCGCATATAGCTTGTTAGCTCTGGAGGAAGCACTCAAGGCATAATTGGCCGCATTAGCAAGTTTATTTAGTGATGTATTGAAACTCAGATATGCCAATGACACAATAGTTTTGTGCTTTTGCGTAGCCAGGAAGGGTTGTATATTTATTCCACTAGAAATATATGTGTGATAAACAAAGAGACTTATTGATGCCTCATTGCGTTTAGGTGTGTAAGGTTGACAAAGGTAGGGAAAAAAAAAAAAAAAAAAAAAAACCGAAACAAAAGAGACAACAACAGTCCAGACTTGAATTGCCTGTTCAGAAAGCGAGTTACTATTGGATGATCAGTATTTGATATGCCGAGACAAGCATTTTTTAGGGTTATCTCATTATGCAGGGATTGTAATGTTACGGTAAGATCTCCCCCGATGGGATCTCCGCCGGCCCCACAAAAAAGAGAGCATAAATTCCTCTATGTCATGAGAATGATGCATAGCAGACAATTAGAGTTATGCCGTGGTAGCTACGGAGTGGCTTTTTCACTCTGGGCCTTCTTTACCTCTAACCAGCTTACGCCGCCAAGCTTAGAGAGCCAATATTGTTATCTAACTTATTTTGAATTGAACAATGGTTCCTTTGGTGCAGGGGGGCCATTTGAACGCTACCAGCGAAGAAAGACCGGGCCAACGACAAGTAGTACGATACCCCACCCCTGCTAATGTGCCATAGACTCTAACCGAGAGATATAGGCTTGTGAGCTTTGTCGGAGGTGGAAAGTAAAATGCGAAACAGCATCCGGCCATGCTACATGTTCGGTTTGTCAACGCCGAGGTGTGGTTTGCGTTCGGACGGCTCGACCGCGTGTATCTCGGCGCCCAGTTATCAGGTGGGGAATCGGGGTCTTACTTCCTAGAAAGCCCCATGCGGCTCACTAACGTGTCGATACAGCAATAGGAATAAGCTAAGATCGCAATCTCCGGTTCCGCGACTCAATGACGGCTTCCATGCGCAACGGAAAGAGAGCATCCGAAGCCGAACTAGGGTGGAAGCAGGGCTGGTGAATGAATTCATCGCGTATAAGCAATGGACAAGGACGTTTCTTCACGACTGGCTGAACTTGCTCTGTGAGATCTCGCGGTCAACCAATTGCTCCCTACTACTAATAGTTCTCAGCCAGTAAAACGCCATTGTACTGTTTGTCAGCTCAATGGGAAGAATGGTTACAGTCTGAGATGGGCTGTCAACTCGGACCCCTTCGAGACAATATCAATGACTCCCAATCATCAAAAGACAATCTTCCGAGCACTTGCTTAAGTAACGGTCGACTGGCGGTATTCACCGCACTACCTCCACAACAAGAGGCTGTTGATATCCTTAATACGTTCTTCACCTATACTACAGATGTATTCCCGCTGTTCCACGCCGATACTTTCACAGAGCTTCTAAATAAAAGCTATGAGCGAAGGCGACCACGGGATCCATCGTGGTGGGCTGGCCTGAATATAGCATTGGCGATTGGCTATCGTTACCGTTCCCTGCACCAACTTAGCCCGAGTGGTGCTAGAACCAAGTCAAATGTGTACTACAAGAATGCAATTGCCGCCGTGCCTGAGCTTCTATTACGCAAGCCTGACTTAATGGCTGTTCAGGCACTGATGGGAATCGTGAGTGTGATAAGGTATCTTGTCTTGACTTGATCATGCGGTTGCTAATGTTATCCCGACAGGTCTTTCTTTCGTGCAATGGGTTTGAAACCCCTATGTATCAGAACCTATTATCTATCGCAATCAGCTCATGTGCCCAATTTGAAATCCATAGGTCTTGCTCAACACCACGATCTACATGCAGAGAACAAGAGCAACCAATCTTGATCTTATCTCTTGGTTACATGATGGAAGAGCTGTAGGTGTCACTCAGGGACCAGATTGAACCAGCCTGGCTGAGCTTTATAGATACCGTCCATGGCAAGGCCTGCCACCCAGCAATGCCTCAGCTGATTTCGGCGCGGACAGCCCCCATCCAGACTGGGTGTACGAGTCGATCGCTCAGAATGCCGGTTTTTCTGACATGGATCTCTTTACTTGGTTTCGTCGCCTGAGCGTTATCCGACATAAGATATATACGTCTCTCTACAGGACAAAGGACTCGCAGGCGCTCCCGCATGGACAGTCTTCAATCATTCAGGCATTGCAACTAGAGCTAACGAGTTTTCAACGGACCTTACCTGTTGACCCTGGCCATGCTGTAGAATTTATCACCAAACTACCAGGCCATCTCAAGTCTCCCTTTGTGTCACTCCTCTGCGCGTATCACAATACCGTTATCTTATTGCATCAGACACAGATCTTCTTCCGGGCCCCGAAGATCCCAACTCCATCCCGAGCTACAGAGCTCTCTCAGAAGGCATGTGTAGATGCTGCCCGCCAGACGGCATTTCTATTGAATGCCCTTCCTCCTTGGTGGTGGCCGTTTGGGATCCGGTATATTAAAATTCTTCAATCTCCCTGTCCATTGCATGATACGCAGAACTAACATGAACCAGACTCGTAACGCTCTACATATTTGCTGCATTCAACATCCTGTTCGCGAGTGTGCTCGACAGCCCTGATAGTGATGCAGCTCAAAGTAATCTCGAGTTAATGGAAGCAATGATCTCCCGCCTTTCTACATGTGCAACCGGAAATGGCCTCTCAGAAAGCCCGAGCTTAGCCGAGTTTACCTTTTTTCTTCACACTTCGCGAGAGTGTCTTGGGATGGCCTATTCGATGGTTCAAAAAGCGCAATCTTAAGGGCTGATCGAGATAGGCGGGCAATGCGTGACATGATTTTTGTTTATGACGAGATATTAAGCGTATACGGTCAATCGGAGGCGCTACCTGCGACTGGAAATATATATGAGAAAAATTCAAAATTACAGAATGAAATTAACGGTTATCAAGGTTAGCATAAACTAAGACATAGTCTAGAAATCAAGAAGATAGCATAACTAAGCTTAATTTGATGTCGCCTTCCCGGCTTTAGAGTCTATAACGCTACCATTGGCAACAAAGAGGATTAGATGTTGGGGATGAGGTGTTCAAAGCACAACCTTAGTACCATGTGGTATTCTAGTCAAGTGGGACTGACATTAGATATGTGCTGTGTGCAGTTGTGCCAGGACAGTCATTCACTGCTTCGATAAGCACCTTCACCTGGCTGCAACAGCGGACTGAGCCCTGGAAATCAAAAAGTCCTTCGCCTTGACCATCTTCACCATCATACTCCATGGAGTCCAACCGAAGATCAACCCGGTGCCCCCTGTCGAGCCAACCGGGACCATCATCATGATCGTATTTCCCTGGTCATAAGTCTTGCGCTTTCCTCCTTGACTCAGAATATCTGCTTTCAGATTGCTCGCCACCACCGCAGCCTGCTCCTGTGCCTTGAACGATAACCGCATCGAGTTATTGGTGATATCCCCCGCCGCATAAATCGGCAAAGACGCCACCCCAGCTCCACCGCGCCCTACGACCCGAAGCTCCTTATCGACAACAACCCATCCATCCTGATCCAGGAACTCCACCGGGATGAAGTCATTATTTGGCAACGCCCCAGTGGTGGGGATATACAAGTCTGCGTCTAATTCGCCCCCGCCGTTGCTCAGCGTAACCTTCCATTTCCCCGAATCCGAGCTCTGCATTGCACCAGCGACCTTTTGATTCGTCAAGACTCTCACGCCCTGGGCAACAAGAAGCTTTTCTGCTGCGGTGCTCCCAGCTGGTTTCAACATGGGTAAGATGCGATCGGAGGCGGACACGAGCGTGATATTCACTTTCCCTCCGGCCAAGTGAGCAGCCTCGGCGAGTTCACCAGCAAGTTCAACACCAATGGGACCCGCACCGCCGATGACAATGCTCTGAGAGGTCTTAATGCGGCCTTGGGCGGCTTGAATCAAGGTTTCCATGTTGTCTGAGTTGGATTGCTTGAAGGGAATGCTATCAGTGTTGGTTTGGCTTGTGGACGCGGTGGTACTGCCGGAAGCAATGACGAGGTAATCATATGAAATGATCTGTGTCTCAGCAGTATCTATGGAGACAGTCCTGGCGGACACGTCTATCGAGGAGGCGCGTCCTTTGATGAATTCGAAGGAGGTCTTGGAATAGGAGGCGAACTCCTTTTCGATAGGAAGCAGGTATTGCTCAGGTCGGAACGCATCTTGCTTGGCGAGGATTCGTGGGGCAGCAATGGTGAAGTAGAACGTTGGTGATGGATTAATTAGCGTAACTTTGATAGATGGGACGTCCTTAAGAAGGGAATGGGCAATTGGGATACCTGCGAATGAGGCGCCAATAATAACGACGTGGGACATTATATTGTGCGGTATAGGAGTAAAGGAAGACTGTTTGAAATTATGACAACAAAAATATAGTATTCGGTAGCACTAATTAAAGAGTTAAGGAGAATAACAATGATATTAGGGTTAGAGCATGTGTATATCTTGGCCTGAGGCCGAGTCAAAGTCTATGCGACATTTCTTGGGATTGTATTGCTTATTCAGAGAATCTGAGATTTGTCAGGTTTAGCTAAGCCGGTTTACTCATGATAACTTAAGTTACGTTTTGCTTAGTTATCTATCTGCAATGCTTAGCAGCAAATTGACGCATTCTCTCAGCCCTAGGGGGATAAATAGAGGAGGCCCCCGAGAAGAACGAAAGCTGACCTGAACAGACTATGGGCGAGGATAGCCGAAAATTGCCTTATTTCAGTGTAGACCTTTCTTAGCACCAGATGCGACACCACGCATACTGATCCATGGAACCTTGCGATATATCAAATAACTCCCTCTGATTTTGATGTTTATAATATCTAACAGCACTCGTCTCAATTCTTGTTCCCTTCCTACTCCTTTTTTCCCTTCTTTTTGAAGAGGACAGACAGCAGCAGACGATGGTCGGATACGAAGAGTTTAATCAACTTTCATACGGACACCGATTAGTGCCTTACACAACGATCATTGTCCACAGTGTATATATATGCAGCAAGTAGTACAGTATAAGCCAGAAAGAAGGTCGCATCTATTCACAATAGCATAAAGCATAAATGTAGTAGAAAAAAACATACAACAGGAGGGATTTGCTGGTGGTCACCCACCCAACTACTAACCTCCCGGTGTGTGGCTTCTGCGCAGTCAATGGATTACTGTATGTCCTTACAGAATAAGTATAGATAGTCTTAATGGGCGATACGGAGACCTTTCGTATCCATTCTTGAATTCTTAGCTAACTATCTAAGCTCGCTATCTCCAACTTGCTCGGCGTTGTGGGCCCGCTTAGCGGCTCCGGGAGAACCCATATTTCCGGCCTTAGGGCCAGACGGAAGCCCCTACCAACAGATAATAATATCAAGTTGTCGCATACTTGGTATGGATATATTTTAGAGAGAGATAATAACATATAGAATAATCCTTTGGGTGTCTAGCCGTCCGTGACCGGATATCGTCATCCTATGATATTCTGCCTTGCGTGTCCGCCCTCGATACGGTACGCTAGACAAGGGTCTGTAACACTTTCCCTACTAATCAACGCAAGTGGCTAGAAAGCTAAGACACTTTTGATTCACATGGTGTGCTTCACCGGTAGGTGGGCTGTGAGAGGGGATAGACCCGCATACCGAAGTGTGAACAACGAGAAAGGGTGTACACATATGCTGCGAGTGATCTGAGAAACCGCGTAATTGGCATTCCGGATAGATGTCAACCGATGTTTAGTGTAGTATGCGCTTGGAGGGACTACAGGCTCGGCGCCAAGCGTTGACATTTGAGCTTGACAGTGCATATTTGCATGATGCCCGAGCTTTATTTAGCCGGCCGTGCTAAAGATCCTCGACTGAAGGTTTTAAAAACGTGTTTACCTGAAGTACTTGCGCCGCGGAAATGTATATCCTGTTCGATTTCGACCCCTACGAGACAGCTCAGCGCGAATATCGGCTTTCGGACTTCTCCCGAGGCAGAGTAGGATTTTGCGATTTTCGGGGGTCTGATTTGTGGGGAATTAAACTAGTCCTGTAAAGAAATGTCATTGTCATAAAAGTCACTCCGTATAGATCGATCTGGAAGCATTTAAATAGGTTAGGTAATGATTTTACGGAACATTCTCTTCCGCATGGCCTCAAATCACCACCAACCATTTCGGGGTTTTGCAAAAACCAAGATCGAGTGAAAGTTGCATACCTCTCGGCGGGTCCTGCGGTCCCGAAACGGATTCAACTAGTGTATTTTACCCGACGCTATGGAAATTTCAATGTCACGTTAATGGTTATCAGATCATCTGATAGGGTTAAGATGATCACGCACATGGCAGTCAGAGGGGATAGAGGGGATACTACCGTGTAGTAGTATGTAGGATTGTGACGACGATGGATACTCTCGCGTAATACCTGGCAAGCCTGCAGAGACAGGATTTTCACCGGACGGGAAGCCAGGTCGGGTTAGGGGACTGGAACGGACCCCAGGCCAACACAAACAGGGATCACTCAATGAGACACCACGGTAGCTTTTCGTCGATTCCCCTTTGCTGCGGTCAATTGCACGCATCGAGACTCTGATTGTCTAGGATGCCGGCATCTGAGGTTTCGAATAGCAATCAGCCAGAAGGCACCCCAGAAGAGAAAGGACGAGGACGAGCAGTTGTATGAACCATCTACCATCTCGCCAGGCCATCGCTGGCAATGACTGACGGAGCATAGATCGAACATGTCTCGAAGTCCATTCCTAAGGGCAAGGATATCAAGACCTTGTTCACCTTCATCCGCCTGTTATTCTCGCTGAACTACACCGCACTTGATATACTGCTCATGGTCGTGGGAACCTTTTTTGCCATTGCCGCAGGAGTTCCAGAGCCATTGCTTGGTATCGTGCTGGGTCAACTGATCAATGAGCTTAATACGGTCGCCTGTTCCGCAACGCAGTACAACCCCTCCTCCGTCCGAACAAAAGTCCTGTACCTGATCTACATTACGATCTTCAATTTTGTGAGCATCTACATATATGCGGCATGCTGGGCACTCGTCAGCGAGCGGCTGGCTCGTCGCTATCGCAAGGCATACTTCCGAAGCGTGGTCCGGCAGGAGGCAGCATTCCACGACAGTTTACCTTCAGGTCAGGTCATCTCCCGGCTGGTCAGTGATATCGAGACGGTACAGTCCGGAACGTCCGAGAAAGTGGGTATCTATATGGCGACCCTGTCGTACTTCGTTACGGCGTATATAGTGGCGTTTATAAAAGTCCCAGTGATCGCGGGCATTCTCATTGCCATCGTGCCATGTTTCTTCGCGATGGCTCTCGTTGGCGGCCACCTCACCTCGCGGTATGGGAGCCGCGTGGGCAAACACATCGACCTGGCCACCTCCATCGCATCGTCCAGTCTGTCTCATCTCAAGATTGTGCATGCATTCAATGCGCAGCAACGTTTGGAGGATCTCTTCTCCTCGCACCTGTCCAACTCCCAGAAGGATGCGTTGAAAAAGGCGGCGGTACATGCGGCGCAGATGGGCACACTCTTCTTTGTGGTCTACTCATCTAATGCACTAGCCTACTGGAAAGGAGCACATTTGATAGCGGACTCAATCGACGGCCGCAACTCCGGTGTCTCCGTGGGCGCGGTATATACCGTGATATTTATTCTCATCGATGGTAAGCTATCTACCGACTCCACAGATCGTTTTCCACTTCTCGGTTACCAACTAACGCGAAACAGCGTCATTCATCCTGAGCCAGGTTTCCCCTTATATGCATGTCTTCAGTGCCGCAGCAAGTGCTTCCGAGCGTCTGTTAGAAGTGATCAACCGCCCCTCCACTATCGACGGCACCTCCGACACGGGGGGGAAGTGTGCAGATCTTCGCGAGGAAGAAATCAAATTTAACGACGTGCACTTTACGTATCCGGCTCGATCAGAGAATCCCGTCTTGCAGGGTGTTACTTTTTCAATTCCTCCTAGACAGCACACTGCTATTGTTGGTCCCTCCGGAGGAGGCAAATCCACTATTGTCGCCCTCTTGGAACGATTCTACGACCCGTCTACAGGAAGTATCTGTATTGGCACACAGGATATTCGGCACGTCAACGTGGCCAATCTCCGAGGGCAAATGGGCTTTGTCCAGCAAGAGTCGCAGCTCTTAAATCGGTCAATCCTCGAGAATATCGCATATGGCCTGGTCGGGTCAGTGGAGCATGAAGACTTGGCGCAGGTGATTCTGGATATGAGTCTCACCGGAGTCGTGGCTGAGATTCAATCAGGATGTACGGAAGAGGAAGTCCTCAGGAACTGTGATCCCAGAATCTCCGAGATTTTCAGACGGGCGAAGATGGCAGCGGACAAAGCCAATGCTCTTTCGTTCATCGAAACACTGCAATTCGGAATAGCAACTAGTGTGGGCACCGCGGGTGGCCAGCTCAGTGGTGGCCAACGGCAACGCATTGCCCTCGCCACTGCCCTTGTTCGTGAGCCCAAACTGCTCATCCTGGATGAGGCAACAGCGGCACTCGATTCAATGAGCGAACAGCTGATTCAGGCCGCCCTGCTGAAGGTATCTGGAACCACCACGATCGTCTCTATCGCGCACCGCTTAGCGGCCGTTAAGGATGCCGACCAAGTTGTGGTCATAGAGAAAGGCCGTGTGGCTGAATATGGCTCTCCCCAGCAACTACTGGATAGTGGTGGCATGTATGCAAAGATGATTGGTTTGCAGAGAATGGACAATGCGGAAGCTGATGGCGCGAAGGCGTTAGCCAGCTGTGCTAACACCCTTACTGGTTCTGAAACCCTGGAGTCACCTATTGACGAGAGAGATGTCCTGCAGGAGAAGCCGGAAGTCGACTTGACAACGGATCAGCTATCAGGTGAAGCTAAGAGGACATCTAGTACCTTGCACGCACCCGAAGAAGAGATTCCGACTCGATCAAAGCGCCTCACTACGAGAATATACTTCTCGTTCATTCGCCCCAATCTGCTACTTATTATCCTAGGGCTGGGTATGTCCATAATCATCGGCGGGAGCTACAGTGCAAACGCAATTCTGTTTGGGAATACTGTCGGAGGACTTAGCCCATGCAAGGGTACACCCAACATCCGACACAGTGGGAACTTTTTTGGCCTTATGTTTTTTATCGTGGGGCTTATCGAGCTTTTTGCAAACATTATTGGTGGATGCGCGTATGGATGGGCTGCAGACCAGACATTATATCGGGTCCGCGTAGCCTCACTTCGATCACTCCTGAGCCAGAGCTTGACATGGCATAGTACTGGTGGGCGAAGTCCGGGAACACTTATTGCGTATATCACAGGAGACGCGTCGGCTATTAGTGGCTTGACCGGAACCACTATTGGGCTTCTCCTCGCGACCACTGTGAATCTCTTTGCGGGTATAATCATCTCGTTCATCGTGGCATGGAAAATATCCATCGTGCTGGTGCCCA